CCCTAATCCCTGGTGCCATTTGGGAATGGTTTCAAAGGCATTCCAACCGCAGAATCATGCCAGTGCACTGGTTATCAATTATTTCGTTGATCCTTTAGCAAATCCTCAAACTGATTTTTCTGCCCTCCTGGGACACAAGTCACAAGGCTGACCTTAACCGCTTTGGCATCCCCCCTCCACTCCCAAGGCACACAAAAGAGCAATGTGGGGCTGGTGATTTATTTTTTTCCCACGCAGGTCATGCTTGAGCCCAGACAGATAGAGAAGATCTGTCTTTAATGAGAGAAATGTACCATTACTTGGTCATAAATTCAACTTAATGGTAATTTTGGTAGGGCAGCTTGCCCAGGGTTTGTAGAAACACAAATCAAAATTCCCAAATTCCAGGCATATCCTCCTAGAAACTCTTTTGGCAACTCCATTCCCTTTGCTTTTTAAGGAAATCAATTTCCCTAGTTATGGTCCCTAGTTGCTTAGGGTAGATTTGCACAAGGCCTAGAATCACTGTGGCAGCAGAGAATAGAGTGAGTGGCATGCTGCTCAAATTATTTTTGCCAAGCATTAGGCCTTGACATCAGTCGTCAAGGAGGCACAAATGAATTGACACACAGATTCGGTATACAGCCCAGAAAAGTAGTTTGCAGTAAGAACATTCAGACAGCTCCGTCTAAGGAAAGGTTTTATTATTTTTTTCAAATCCTCATGTCCTTGGCCAATTCTAAACTGACTAATAATGGCCATTACCACTCTCAGATCTCAGAATAAGTTTTTAATCCCTGCAGAGTTGACTTTGAGTTGCTGGGTTAGAAGGATATGCAGAGTATATTCAGGCACAATGCTACCAGATACCCCATCAAACTCTTAGAAATAGACTTGAATGTACCCTCTTGTCTTGTATCATATCCTGTGCTCACTTCCATCATAGCAACTAGCATCTCCTTTTGGGCTTAATTATTCGTATGTGATGCCTTCTACTAAACTGTGTGCTCCCAGGTGTAGGGTGATATCACACCTGAGTGTGTTTCTCTAGTTTCTTACCCCATGCCTGACATGTGACAGATGCACAGTCAACATTTGTTGAATGAACAGAAGTGTGAATGAATGGAGTTCATGCTGTTCTGATAAGGTCTGACTTTTTTTTTTTGGCCGCACTGAGCAGCTTGTGGGATCTTAGTTCCCGGACCAGGGACTGAACCCTTGCCCTCAGGAGTGAAAGTGAGCAGTCCTAACCACTGGACCACCAGGGAATTCCCAAGGTCTGACTTTTAAGTCAGGGAACCTGGTAATGGCCATTTCTTTCTATTTGGTATGGTATACATGGCTAGGTGAGACAATGCTCTGGAAGACAGCAGTGAGAAAACAGAAGTGAGGGTAACTGCCTTTCATGGTAGAGCAACTGGAGTCTGTTAAAAATATCATTTCATTCATTTGAACAAATATATGTAGATTGCCAATACAGCCAAAGCATTAGTGCCAGGTACTGAAGAATATTCAAGACGACTAGAAATCAAAGAGCTTGCAATTTAATTCTAAGATCCAATGTATAATCTTATCATAAATTATTTTTTCCTAATAACATAGATCTACCCGGAGAAAAGACATGAAATTCTAGTTCTCCTCTCTGATTTGGTTTTATAGGTGGGCCTACCTACACTGCTCTCTTCAGGTGTAGAGGGGAGTTTAACTGGCACTTTCTTTGTGTTGTTATTCACACATTTGGCATGTGGGAACGTCAGGTTTAGAGCAGGAAGGGAGGCCTGGAACACCCAGGGGTTGGTATGTTTGGATCCTTATAATCCTGTAGCAAAAGTGGAGGGCTATCACACCTCACCTTCAACTAACGCAGTATTATATGTCAATTTTATCTCAATAAAACTAGAAAAAACAAGAAGTTAACAATAATAACCAACAGGCAGTGGCTTTCAAGCTTGAACAGGTATGAGAATCACCAAGAGGCCTTATTAAGACATGTATTTCTGGCCCCCATCTCCAGAGCTCCTGTGTCAGTAGGTCGGGGTTAGGATTCTGGAAGTTGCATTTCTAACAGCTTCCCAAACAATGCAGATGCTTCTGGTCCAGGACCAGCTGATCTAAGGTGAGCCCTAGCAATTACCTGCTACCAAATCTTATTCTCCCATTCTCTTATATAACCCCACAGAGTGATTCTATTTGTATGGTTTTTGTCAGGGCAGCCTTGGACTGGGGTAGAAAAATCAGTTTGAATTATTTTGTAGCCATTTGTTAGTGACTGGGCAGAGTTTTCATGTTGGATATCTTCCTTTTACCATTTAGCCCATTATTTATGGACTGCATCTCCTACCATTAACTGGGAATAAGAGTAATGATAATATGAATGAATGAAAGCAACATGTAAATGTTTTGTTAACAGAGGGATGCATACACATAAAGTATTTTACTCTTGCCATTGGCCTTGCATGAATAACTATGTGAAATGATGAATTTAACATTAGCCTTTGGGTTCTTGCTTCTTTCCCTCACCTGCTCTGACTAGGAAAATAATTGTAGCTTCAGTCTGAATGGGGATATATCAGCCAGGTCTTTCTGACTTCTAGATAGCTCATGTAGTCCGGCCAAACTATCTGGCTTTCTGATTACACAGCTTTTATAAAGAGAAAAAAATATTTTCCTAAGAATCATTTTAAATTATTTTCTCCTCTCATAATGAAAGGTTTATCTAAAACCCCGAACTTCATTCAGGATTCTTCCCCACTCTTTGTCGTTCCCCATCCTTTCCTGACCCCACCCACCCCTCAGACAGCCAGGGATTTAAAAATATGTTGGAAGATTTTGATGGTGTCTGCACAGTAGGATTACACTCTTCTATGTAACGTTCGGACACCAGACAGAAAGATAGCACAGTCTGTCTAGCTCTTTGTAATTAGCTTCACGATACTGTTTTAATTGTGGCTCAGCTTAATCACTGGCTGTGCACAGATTATGCCATATAGTTAAAATAATTATGGAGATTTGATAAGATAATGCTTTGAATTCATATAATGCTTCTTTTCCAACAGGCTCCACAATTTAAAAGGAGAGAGAGCAAAAAGGACAAAGAAGGACAGCCATTCGATGCCACCTTTGGTCATTTTCTGCACCTTGCCAAGGCTGGCCAGGGTAATACACACACACACACACACACACACACACACACACACACACACATATTTATTTCAGGTCATCTTCCACCTGCCCAAGGAAGCATTTTATCCAGTACTCAAAGATTCTGAAGATAGTGTGAAATGATACATACCTTGTTTGCCAGCAAATACTTAATACGGACTATACAACTAGTAACCTAGGCAAGCCCGTGTGGATGCATTAGTTCTAAATCTAATTGTTTACATAACTGATGGCTACTGGCTCCATTAGCAGTTCTTTACCTTCAAAAGAGTGCAATCTGGTCATAAACCTTTCTTAGAACTATTATACAATTTGTATGGTTTATTGAACATTCATTCATTCATTCAAAGTAGCATGCCTACTATGTGCCAAGTGCTGTTCTAAACTCTTACAGTAAGTAAGTTAAGCAAAATTCCTACCCTCATGGCCCTGACATTCTAGATATAGGGGAACTGACAATACACAAACAATAAAATAATGATTTCAGGTATGATTAGTCCTGTGAATAAAATAACACAGGGTTGGGGAACAGAGTGGGGAAATTTTAGACAGATTAGGAAATATCTTTTTCAGAAGATGACATTGAACAGGGTCCTGATGGTGAGAAGGAATCAGGTGAAGATACGGGGAAGGGAATTCTAGGTGTAAGGGAGAGAAAGTGTAAGTGGCTGAGTCTATGATGAGGTTAGTGGTTCTGGGAAAAACAGGTGGGGCAGAGGGGCTGGAGGAGAGTGAGTAAAGGGTAGAGTTGAGACAAGGCAGAGGCCAGGTCAGAGGACTGTGCCCCATGGCATAAAGATTAAATTTTAAGGTGATGGTAGGTCGTAGAGGGTTCACATTGCCCGATTCACATTTTAGAAAGATCATGCTAGTTGAGATTAGACTTTATAGGCAAAAATTGAGATGGGAAATACTAAGGGATGCAAGACTTTTTTAGACATGTTGAGTTTGAGTTAGGTATTACACGTACAAGTGTGGCGTTTAATACCTGAAAATGTAAATCTAGAGCTCAGGGGATAGGTCAGAGTTGGAGATGTCTATGTGGGAGTCCTTACTGTATACATATAGTATTTATTGCCTAAGCTGGATCTTGGGCAAGTGGGGAGATGAGGTGATATAAAGGAAGTATACATCGTTGTCCTACCCTAAAAGAGATTTTTAAAATGTTATCTTTCTTATGATGTGCATAATGAATAATAGAAGGTAACACAGAGTGTGACTTTAACACAATTTTTTTGCTTATTTGTTTGTTTAATAGCAAACAGACCAAAAATTAGATATTCAGATAAGTCTTATCTTTCAAAGGAGCCACATGGGAGGGCTAGCCAGTTGGGCCAACAATGCTGCCATTGCTTAGAACTTTCTTGGAGTGATTGGGGATCCCTTTTATTATTTTTTTTAATTAAAAATATTTTTTAATTGGAGTATAGTTGGTTTACAATGTTGTGTTAGTTTCAGGTGTACAGCAAAGTGAATCAGTTATACATATACATATATCCACTCTTTTGGGGGCTCCCTTTTAGATTTGCTTTCACCACACAAGAAAGTCAGCCTAAATTTTTCGTAAAATTATATCTCATTTTTGGTTAAAAAAATGAAACTGCTTGAAAATTCATCTGCTATTGTACTTATAACAAAAAAAACACACAAGAAGCCCTAAATATTTCACCAGAGGGAGATGACTTGACACCACTGATGATTTTAAAATGACTTTGTCATTTGCTTTGGCAATTCTCAGAATGGTGTCTGGATATGTTTAGAGCAATATGGAGAAGACTGGAATAAGTACACAACCTCCCACATGATAACTTTGAAGGAAATACTATTTATTTCGATTTGAAGTTTTATTCATTCATGACAAAAAATTTATTATCTGCCGTGTTCCAGGTGGTTTTCTAGGCAGTGAAAAGGCAGTTACAAACAATAAAAAGAATAAAACAATGCTAGCTTTCAGGACTTCATCTTTGACCTGAAGAATATCTTAGCCATCAAAAATCCCATTTTTGCAAATGGCTCAATTAATCAATTTACTGAAACTAAAACATTCAAATGAAGGAATAAAATTTAACTTTGCCTTTGCCTTCCTCATCTGTTTCTTCTTCCTGTCATATTTCCAGAAACCTAGCTCTCAATCTCTGATTTTTAAGTCTAAAGTGATCTGTTCCTGTATGCTATAAAATTCCCCTCAGACATGGAGCACGCTTTTATTTTTCTTTCTCCCCCATTTTGTTACTAGAAGGTGTTGACAAATCTCTGGGATAAGATTCTAATATGTTAATTCGTAAGAAGGTGTAAATGACTTGATGCTGATTTACTACAGCCTGAATTTTTATTTTAACAACAGAACAAAACAGATCAAAGAAATACATCTGTCATAATGGAAATTAAAGCATTTGCAAGTAATAAAGTGATATATTTCTTGGCTGAGAGCCTTCTCCCTGTTTCTGAAGTCACAGCTATACAGCTTACTTATATTGCCAATCATAATCTCTAGGAACAAGAAACTTTCAATTTCCTTCGATGCTACTATTTCTTTTTCTTTTTAAGGGATATTCTGCAGCTCTCCTGTTCCATGTAACATACTAGCAAGAGATCATAATAGTTTTGCTATAGCAAAGGGCCAAATTTTTCCTTGGCCTTTGTTTAGCTGGAAGGTGCCTACCACTGAACTGGGGCTCTCCACCACCATAGCTCCTTCAGCCTTGTGCAACATATTATTACAATCAGCTTCACTTGTTCCCAGTTCTTTCAGCATCTGTAGTGGCAGCTGGCACATCTCCCACTTCATCAGGAAGTGCATTCAAGGGTATCCGGCTAGAAAGTTCCCCCAGCAAGCATTTCTTCATATTGCAAAATGAAGAAGCAAGGTTTCAGTTGGAGGTATTCATATCTGGGGTCAAGTAAGGTAGAGTAAAGTGGGGAGATCTTCCATCATCAAAATATCTTTATCATGGGTGAGACCAGTAAAAAAAATCCATTCTTTTTTTCTAGTAGACTGGCATTCCTTTGACCCTGGTTTTAATCAGAAAAGGGATGAGCAGAATTATGCGATTGGCACTGCCCTTGTTTGTTTTCTAAATTCTCAGAGAGAATTGCTCTCATACCATAGGTTTCCCTCAAGATCTACAATTCTGATTTAAATGGTTCAGTTTTATGTGGAGTTTTCTGTGTTTTGCCTTTGGATACCCATATTTCTCTTTCCAGCAATTAATAGGAAAATTTCATTGTGCCAATTGTGGTTTTTTCCTGTGAAAACAACCTCTATTGTCTTCCACCTCTTTTTTACCTCCAGTATTCTGCACTAATATGTAATTGCATGTCAAAGAGGGTGGTGACGATGACCAGCATATGTCGCAAATGTTTGAAAACTGTTCTGGTTAACATAGAAAGAGCTATGGTTTAGGAGATTTAGCTCATGTGAAAATAACTGTGGTCCAGAGATCTAACTCCTCTTCAACATTTACTCCCTTTGAGAAGAAGCACTTTGGGGCAGTATCTCTCAAGGTCATTCATTTTTATCTTTTAATCTATTAGTATGCCTAGTGTCTTGGTAATCAGCATTAGAGCCAGAAATATTGCTAAGCAGTCTTTGGGAGGTATTGAAATAGATGTGTCTCTTGGAGAAAAATTAATTGAAGTCTGTTATGTGTAAGGAAGCTAACAATTACTGAGTGCTTACTCTGTGCCAGGCAATATGCTAAGAATTTTTGCATGTATTATCTCATGTCATAAAGTCTCAATTTTTCTGTTTATTACAGTCATCCTTTGGTATCTGTGGGGGATTGGTTCCAAGACCCCCACCTTCCCCAGCGATACCAAAATCTGCATATGCTCAAGTCCCTTGTGTAAAATGGCATAATATTTGCTTATAACCACACAATCCTCCAGTATACTTTAAATCATCTCTAGACTACTTATAATACCCAATAAAATGTAAATACTGTGTAAACAGTTGTGAATTCAATTTAAATTGCTATGTAAATAGTTGCCTATGTGTGGCAAATTCAAGTTTTGCTTTTTGGAACTTTCTGGAATTTTGGAGGGGGAACGTTTTTGATCTGCAGTTGGTTTAATCCACGGATGTGGAACCTATAGAAACGGAGGACGATTGTAATTGGAATATAGATTTTATTTAGTTTTATTCAAATCTTTTATTACTTTGGTCTAAAATATTACCTATGTAGTTTTGTGCTTGAGGGAAAGTGTATTTAGTGTTCTAGAAGAACAACAGCGGTAGGAAATAATTTGGAATTAAACTTGTTCATGACGTACACAAATCAATTTAAAGTACACCCACTAATTTAAATTACAAAATTAGGGCTGGTCAATACAACCAGAGTGAAGTAAGCTAACAGGGCAGTTTCATGGATTTGGTACTATTGTAGTCATTGGGATTATTCCTCAATATTTCCAGGCAGTGCTCTTCTACCATATAACGCGTTAGCAAGCAATCCTTGTAGTTAGACTGTATTTTCCCACATCTTTAAAATTATGTGTGGCCATGTAACTTGCTTCAGCTAATGAAATGTGAGCAGAATTGATGAGCATCACCTTCAGGTAAAAGCCTGTAAGGACAGTGCACAAGTCCCCATCTTCCCATTCTCTAGCCATAGTGACCAACACTATTTCAGATGGGGAGGCTCTGCCAGCCTGAGTCCTGAGTGAGGATCATGTGAAGCCAAATTCAGTACTGACTTAATATAGCATGAGTGAGAAATAAATTTCTGTTGTTATAAGACATTGAGATGTGGGGATTGTTTGTTACTGTAGCACAACCTAGATTATTCTAACTAATGTAGAATGGTTCTAACATTCATCCAGAAAGTAGAAACCCAAAAAGTCCTTCCTAAATGTACCTTCTTTCATTATCTGCATAGTTTAACCAGAGGTTTGAATTGACCAGACCCTTCTAATAATGAGATAACGTAGAGGTTAAGAGATCTGCGCAGTCAGGCTGTTTCTGTTCAAATACTGACCTTGCTACTTTCTACCTGTAAAGATTTGAATGAGTTACTTAATCTCTCTATCAATTTCCTCATTTGGAAAATAAGGATAATAGTAATACCTACCTTACAGGACTATTGTGAGATGAAATAAAATAATGTATAAAAAACACTTAGCAGGGAGGATAATACTTGTTCAGGTCTTGAGGAGAGGGGAATATGGACAGTTTCTAATCAACAGGCATAAAGTTTCAGTCAGGCAAGATGAATACGCTCCAGGATCTGCTGTACACCATCGCACCTAATAATACATTGTATACATAAGCATTGATTAAGAGGATAGATCTCAGGTTAAATATTCTTTCTACATAATAATTAAACAATAAATGTTAGGTATCATTCTATTATTATCCAGTACATTTGACAATGACTATGGAGCTTATCTTTTTCAGTCTAATTGTTTGGATAACTGATTGTGAAAGTCCCTTCCAGCTCCAAAACTCTATGCTTCCATGAAATACCTTGCTTTCTGGTCCCTACCTTTCCTTAGAGTAGCTGTAGTTGTGGTTTGAATTTTGTGGTGCATATGAGAACTGATGCTAGCTTAGCTGGCTTAGTGAGAAATGTATCTACAAAAAATCAATTTATTCTGCCTCGACTTTCTCCTCCTTCTCCTACTCCATCATTCTTGAAGTTGTCCCAGAACTCTGTTTGACTTTGTAGTTTCTTGCTTCTTTCTCATTCTGAAATATATTTTTCTTTTTGGCTTTTGACACTGGACAACATAAATTTTCCTTTTAATAGACTTGCCCATGTATATAGTAAATAAGACCAGGACTGTGTCAGGGAAATTTCCCCAAGAGATCGGGCAGGTTTTTGATGGTAAGTGTATTAGATATGCTAGGGACGCTGAAGAAGGGAGAGGAGAAAAACTTGTTAGACACGTATAGACCTTCACATCATGCCAAAATATTTTATATGCACATATTTGCAGGAGTATTTCTGATTTACTCTGTTTATTTACCAGTGTTCTCTCTAGGAAAGAGTGCATTGTCCCCTGAAAAACTAGTCGTCTTTGGCTAAAACTCTTTTGTCAAATATGAAAGTGCAGTCTTAAGAATTTTATTAGTGTGGTTGGGATCAATGACTATTGCTTCGAAATGCAGATGTGGATTGTGAAGCCGGTGAACAGGACTGTGCAAGGAAAATGGCATTGTCGAGGATGGAGGAAAAGGCCAAGACCTGTGCCAGATGTGAGCAGGTAACGCCAAGGTTATTTGTAAAAAAGATGGTGGTGGGGAGGATGGCTGAATTCCTGGGACAATAGCCTGAGAGATCAGGGACTCGAAAGAGTAGAGGCAGGAAAAGTGAGCCGGGGGTGGGGGAGGGGAGAAAAACTGAGGCAGGAAGAGGGACGAGATCCGAGAGGATACAGAATAAAGGCAGAGCAGCAGACAAAGCCCTCAGGACCAAAAGCCAGAGAGAATCCCAGTTTGTTTAGCCCAGAGACAGGAAAAAGGACATCCTCTCAAAGGACCTAGGTTATGGGCTGGATGGAGAAGATAGATAACAGGAAAGAACCCGGCTTCTCTAGGGACCCAAAGAACAAGGCCTGTCCCTCCTTCCCCCCTCCCTTCATCCCCGCCCTAACCCTTCTCATAAGATAATAGCTTAACTTGAGGCTAGAAGGTGGAAATGGGACAAACTGTCTGAAAGGAGATAGAACTGAGTCCCCAAGGCAGGAGACTGCCAGAGAAGGCCTGGCAGGAAGGCCAGCATACTAATGGGGCCTGCAGGGACAGGCCATTGTCTCATACTTTAAAAGCATTCTTTTATCAAGTAAGTGAGCATGTGAAGTGGGAAGCATTGAACTTGAGCTGGGCTTACCAGCAGCATGGCATTCGACTTCAACTCTAAAAGCTGAGATCCTGAAATTCCCTCCCAGGTGGTAAAGTGCCTTGTCTGGATTTGGTGCCCAACGGATACCATGTGTGGGAGACAACTCAGAAGCTGAGTCAGATGTGAGTGGGGCTGGAGAGAAGGGGCAGAAGAGGTACTGGTACCCTGTGCTGAAAAACAAGTGCAAATGGGGCAGTTCCGTCTTTGCTTTCCTGCATCTCTCAGATCAGGTGAGTAATAGGGAACCCCGGTAAATCCATTACACTAAGTAGGTTGCTTTCACATGATGATGTTGTGTAATTCACTGTAACATTTAAATTGTTTAGTCTACATTAGGGGGTCACTGAGAATCCAAAGCAGATACAGGAAGCGTTTTGAAAACGACCAGTGCTAGACAAGGCTCCAGAATCCTCTGTCAATCCAGTGTTATAAGTCCTTACCTATTTTTCCCTTGCAATCTTTATGAATCCCAAGTGAATCACATCTAATTTAGTCTTTGGGAATTTGATTTCCCCAGTTTGGGTAGCTAGACCCCAAGAATCCCTTGACTTGCCTCGTTCCTTCTGAGGGGGGCTTCTCAAATACTTTCTGGGAGTATGGCCTCGGGTGCTGTTACCTCAAACTCTGGTTCTCCACTCATTATTTACATGTCCTTAGGAATTTGCCTTGCTTACCTGAGCTTCAGTTTCCTCACCTATAAATGGGAGAACCACCACTACCACATAGGGCTGTTGTGTGAACTGATGATATGGTACATTTGAAAGGTGCCAGGGCTGGATGTGGCATACAGAAGTCCTCCAATAGATGTTTTCCTTTTTCTCTCAAAATGCCAGGCATCTAGCTCATCTTCTTTGTCCCAGTAATCTTGGGGGATCTTGCCCCAGAAAGAAAAGCAAGCCAAATTTGTGTGAGAGTCTTAAAGACTGCTTCAAAAAGAGAAGCTTTCTCTTAAGTAGCCGAATGGGCTTGAGCAACAGACAATCCCCGGTTACTTTCATCCCCCAGCTGCAGACCTCTTCTTGGAGCTCTGGCTGCCTGAAGGACTGAGCCACTAGCCCTCCATAAGTCCATCAGAGGACCGGGTATGAGAACTCGTGAAAGTGAGCACCAGTACACATACATTTTATGTGGGTTCTACTATACTGAAGATCAGTTTGAAGGAAACAGGTCTCAGCAAGCCTAGGGATGACATCAAACAGGGGCGTTTGCCTAGTATGGCTTCTCAGGAACCCACAAATCCTAACAAAAGATACATTTAGGTACGTCTCTGACCCTCAACCACATCAGCCCAGAACTCAGTGTGGTCACCTCATGGTTGTACCAGCATTGCATTTCTATTTTAGCCACAGGTTGTAAAATCATCACTAGGAGTCAAACAAGTGCATCTATAATGATGACTCACCTTCTAGCCATAAGGTCTAGGAGAGACTGAGTACCTCCTGTCTGGCTGTGACCTTCTCAGGCCTACAGAATTGGTACTGTCAGAGGGTAGAGCCCCACAGTTTGCCTTGTGTGGACTACCTTTTGGTGGGCTGCTCGAAGAGCTCATGTCGTCTGCATTGCAGGGAACTACATTTTCCAGGTTCCCTTACCAACTGGCTTTCAAGTATGTTTGGCCAGTGGGTTGTACTGGTGGAAGACTGGAGGGCAGGATGAACCAGAGTATTTCTCTTCCTTTTTGCTTCCAGTGAGGCTTCCAGCACTGTCTGCTTTAGTTTGCTTGCTTGTTTATGCAGTTTCAGGTCCTGTTGGTCAAGCCCATCCTCTGGGTTCCCAGCTCCTGTGGAGCATCCCCTGCCACAGTTCTAACTCTCAACCAATGGCTTCAGGTTCTGGCTCTGGTAATATGACATCCTCCCTGGGTCCCTACAGCCCTAGGGGTGGTGGTGGCTTTCTGCTCTTGCTAATATCTGGGCTGCCTCACCATCCTTCTCTTGGCTTTTTAGCTCTTTCATTACCTACGTAAACAATTCCCTATATTAAGTTGGTTCTGTTTAAAATGCCTTGGGTGGACTCTGTTTTCCTGATGAGCTTCTCACAGCTACACCTCCTTCAGTCAGTGATATTTTACCTTCATGTTGGACTTAAGTCTCTCATGTGAGGTTTGTCATCTCCCAGGCCATCCACTGGGAAACTGAGCAATAGTTCCTTCAGCCCTCAGGTTTCCCTGAACATATCCTGGGGTCACTTACCTCTGTGGGCTTTTGAACCTACGAGGGAGACAGGGTGCTTGTCATTTCTTAGTGACCTACTTTATATAAACGCCAGTCAAGCTTCCTCAGGTTGTCTTTGGCTTCCCACCCATTGGTTAAACTAATTTCTTTTGGAGTCCAAAACTACTCTTAGTTCATCCTCTATTCTCCTCTTTTCTTTGGCTTATGTTATAAACTCTATGTCATCCCCCTAGACTTTGCTGTTGGGAGACAAGCCTCTAAATAAAACAAACAAACACAAAAACAAGCTAGAGAGCATCGAGGACCCCACAGATCCATTAAAGTGATTGGCAGCTACATCCAGCTTCTAGAGGCAGTAGTGGTGCAGGGCTGTCAGCAATGTCCAGTGATAGGGGTGTGGGTCACCTACTGTTATTTGTTGTGGCAGTGATATCTTCACCAACCAGGTTCTGTAACATGATTTTGAACATGATCCCTGAATGTGTAGCCTCGGAGCTTGGTGTGCTGACTTTCCTAGAGATTTTGTGAGCTACCCAATATCATTTTTTTCCCATAAATCATTAAAAATTAGTTTCTGATGCTTATAACTAAATAATAGGTATAGAAATTGGAACCACACACAGTGTTTTCTGATCCACAAAATCATACCTTCAGGTGTGCCCAGGTGCACTCTAATCTGATATGTTCTCAAAATGGGTCCACAATATCTGAGTTCCATGTAAATATTCACAAAAAGGGCCTGTAATACTTAGGTGATCAATAGAGTCAGCCATTACTGGTCCAAAAGAGCCAGTAGCTCTTTATCCTCAGCTGTGCCAATGGTGCTCAGTGGGCTCGCTAGTTAAGTGACCATGGTGGCAGGAACAGACATACTAGCTCAATTATGTGGACTTCTCTTCACCTAGGCTTTCCTAGCATCACCAACTTGCCAGCTCTAGTGACCAACCGTGACCTTCCCAACTGATAGCACTCCAAGGAGACCAGTCATTCACACGATGGCAGGTTCATAGCATTTAATTCCTTCCTTTGTGGAGGGAGAAGCAGTATGTCCTTACTAAAATAGACATGATTTAGATTTACTTCCTTTCCCTCAGTGCTTCTGCCAAAGCCATCACCTGTAGGTATTCTGAATGTCTTTTTTCACTATCACAGTATCCCACTCAATGTTGCTTCTCAACAAGAAGCTCACACTTTAGGAGAGGAAGACAATGTGCTGATGCCCATGGAA